TAGCTGAATGGCTTGTGAAGATGTGATGAATAGAAAATAAACTTATTAAAATACACTCCTGGGAACTTTGCTCAGAAACATGGATACATAAAACCTGCTGCTCTGAAATAGCCCAACTAGATCAGAAAGCAAGAAATAATCCATTAGGCAAGTAGTTATTGCCTAATGGAAAAAACCAAAAAGGAGATAAATGAGTATGGTAAAATCAATTACAGAAACCTAAGTAAACCAACTAGGAGACAACATAGAATTTTCGAACACCTTTTATGGAAATGTCCACAGTGGCTTAGGAAGAAAAGTCTGCAGGTGGAGTTTGTTGCTACAGAAGGCAGCGACGTACAGGGGAAGAGCAGCAGGTGGAAGGAACAAACAGAGTGCCCATCAGCCAGCTGCACGGTCGGTCGTAGTGCCTCATTTAACCTCTGAGTGTCTCGGTTTCCTCACCTGTAGAAGAGGGTCTTTAAGATCACTTCCAGTTTTCATAGAGCCTTTCCAGAGTCTCAGATTCAGAAAAAACAGAATGTACAGGCCCCTTGCAGAATGGAGTTTGAAGTCACCCAGGCCAGCACGGTGCTGCGTGGCCGGTCACAGTCAAGGCTCTCAGAAAACTGGTAGACGAAAGAAGTCCTTGGTGCTGGAAGTGCCACACCAATGTTTTGTGACTGTGGACAATCCAATATACAAGTATTGTTTAATATGCTGGCTATGTGCCAACCTTCAAATCTGCTTCCTCTGTTTTTCTGTTCTGCACAATAGTGAAAATATTCACTTGGGCCTGAGGCAAAATGACAAAACTATCTGCCTTAGTTTGCCTGAGAGCTTTGCCTCCAAGTGGCCTTGCTCTGCCCTTAGTGTACTCAAACCACTGTCCACGCTGGGCTTCTCCACGCCAGGGTCTTTCTTTGATCACAAATCTCAAATGTGCTCTCACACTGTCTGGAAATTCAGTTTCTTCTTCTTTTCTTCTTCTTCTCCTTCTTCTTCTCCTTCTCCTTCTCCTTCTCCTTCTCCTTCTCCTTCTCCTTCTCCTTCTCCTTCTCCTTCTTCTTCTTCTTCTTCTTTTTTCTTTTTTCCTTTCTTAGTTTGAATCTGAATTTCTTCAGTTTCTTTACTAACTACTTCACTCTTTATTCTTCTCAACTTTCTCTCCAGCTCTCATGCACGTTCAACTGGCCTCATGGTCACTGAGAAAATGGAAGCCATCAGATGGGCATTCCCTCATCTTCCCAACATTGAATCTACAAGCTGACTCCCCCCCTTACCTTAGAAGAAGTGTCCCTCTTTCTCTAAAGACCCACACTTCCCTCTTGCCATCTTAAGAACTTTTCTTTCTCTCTCTTTTATTTTATTTTTTGAAATGGGGTCTCTCTATGTTGCCCTGGCTGGACTCAAACTCCTAGGCTCAAGTGATCCTCCTGCCTCAGCCTCCCGAGTAGCTGGGACTACAGGTGCACACCACCACTCCTGGCTTCTCTCTTCTAAATTACCCCTTTCTCTTGCTTCTTCAACATCTCCCTCTCTTATTACCCCAGTCTCAATAGCATGTGAATTATAATCTGGTCTTTCCTGCCATGAAAAACAAAACAAACAACACAAAGTCCTACAACTTCCTCATGCCTTCTAACCTCCTAAGGACTTGACTACACACACTGCATTCCCTCGCTTAGCTCTCATTCACCCTTCAAACCACTCCAGTCTGGCTTGCCCCCCCTTCATCACATTTGCTTTGCTAAGGTCACTAACTCCCAAAAAGATGAGTCCTAACCCTCAGAACCTGCAAGCGTGGTTTGGAAAAAGGGAATTTGCAGATGTAATTAAGCATTTCCAGATGAGATCAGGGAGTGTAAGGCGGGCCTTGAGTCCAACGTCCTTATAAAAGAAAGCAGCAGGATATTGGAGCTAAGGAGGAAACACAGGGAGAAGGTCCTGTGAAGATGGAGACAGATTTGAGTGATGTCTCTCTAAGCCAAGGGATGCCAAGGATTGCCAACGGTCACCAGAAGTAGGAAGAGGCAGGGAAGGATTCCTATCTAGAGCCTTTGGAGGGAATGCAGCCTGCTGACACCTTGATTTTGGACTTCTGGCCTCCAGAACCGTGAGAGAATCAATTGAGTTTTAAGCCAACAAGTTGTGGTCATTTGTTATGGTAGCTGTAGGAAACCGACAGTCACCAATGACCTCCACATTACAAAACCCCAGACATGCTGCCGTCTCCATCTTCCACTTTGCAGCAGTATCTGATTCAGTTGACTGCTCCCTCCTTGAAACATTGTACAGCCCTGGCTTCCAGAGAACCACTTGCTGTTGGGTTCTCTCTCCTCTTGGTGCATGCTTCACCTTAGGGCTCCTCACCAGCTTTCTGCTTCCACCACCCTCTCTTCTTTTCTGCCTTTATGTTCTTTAAAGTGTCACAAACATACCTGTGGCTCTAAATAACAGTCATACACAGGCACTCCTTGACTTATTATGGGCTTATGTCCCGATAAACCTACTGTAAAGTCAAAAAATCGTTAAGTTCAACCATTGTAAGTCAGGGGCTGTCTATACTCAAGATTCTCAAATTGATCCCTTCAACTTAGACCTGTCAATAGCTTCAGCCATGTGTACATCATGCCTTTTTGACAGTTTAGATGTTTTATAGTAATCTACGCGAGCAAAGATACGTGTCCAAAACAGAATTTTTTTTTTTTTTGAGACAGGGTCTTGCTCTGTCAGCCTGGCTAGAGTGCAGTGGCATCACCATAGCTCACTGCAACCTCAAACTTCTGGGCCCAAGAGATCCTCCTGCTTCAGCCTTCCGAGCAGCTGGGACTACAGGTGTGCGCCAGGATGCCTGGCTAATTTTTCTATTTTTGGTAGAGATGGGGTCTCACTCTTGCTCAAGCTGGTCTTAAATTCCTGGTGTCAAGCGATCTTCCTGCCTCGGACTCCCAAAGTTCTAGGATTACAGGTGTGAGCCACCTCGCCCAGCCTCAAAACAGAACTTTAAAAAGAAACAACAAACTTTTATTTGCATTTATTTTATGCTGAATTTATTTCCAAGCCATAAATTTTGGCCTGTTAGTTTCAGTTTTTTCTCGGATATCTTTTTCTTCTGTGTAACCTCCTATTTTGGTTTAAGAACAATTTGTTCCTTTTTAGTAAGGATCATCTCACATGGCCGGGGGCCTCACGTACGGGTTAATCCAAGCACGGGCCCAGTAAGTACGGCACACATTTTGAGCGCTTTATTCACCTGGATGTGCTCAATAACCACAGAATCTACATCTAAACCTTTAAGTTCAGCAGTGCTCTCTGTATTTTTAAGCATGTACAGCAAAAATTCAGCACTCTTTTTCGGTCACTGACCACAGCCTTGCCACTAGGCCTGGGCACACCTACCACTCCAGCACTGTGATGATGGAATGACACACATTGCTTGTGCAGAGTGCTGTTTTTCACATTTTTGGTGGCTTTTCAGATAGACATACCCCTGATGGCCTGGGCATTTTCACAGGTGTTCCTGAAGTGAGTAAGAAGATTTGAGCCTCTTGATTTGCATGATTTTGTAGGTTTACTGGGTCAAGTGAACATCAAGCCATTTTCGGAGATCACCTTGGGCTGCTTATACGAAGAGTACAAGACAGAGCTTCTGTTTTCCACTAAACACTCCTTCTGCTGGCCCCTCGGAAAATCTGTTCCTCTTTTGCTCACTCTTAAGAAGTGAAATCTCCACCCAACACAATTGCTCTACTAGATCCTAAGCAAGTCTTGTTAATTTCCTATCTAAATTAAATCTGGAATCCATTCACTTCTCTTCACAGCTACTGTGTCATCCTGGGACCACACTGACATTCTCTCCCATCAGGTCTCTTGCGATAGCGTCCAACTGATTTGCCACACAGCGGCCAGGGTGCCCTTTTAACAGAGCAGATCATACTGTGCTCCTTCTTACAGCCCTTTTGAAGGATTTCTGCTGGATTTGGCACAAAATCCGAACTCTATGAGACATTTTGTGACCTTGTCCCCACCTTCTGTCCATCTCTCTGCCCCTGCTCTGTCAGTAGTGGATCCTCTTTAGGCAGCAAGAACTCCCCAAGCTCTTCTTACTTGGGTGAGCCCTGCCTTCAGGCGACTTCAGAGAGAACACCCTGACAGACCACTGCCCCCCTCTGCGCATTCCCTCTGCTTTACATGTTTCCGCTGTTATTTTCTCGCTCATAGAGCTCAGTTCTTTCCACCATAGCATTTGCTACAATCTGTAACGTCACATTTGATCGTGTGTTTATTTATTAATATTTGCTCTCCCTCCGGCCCCCCTTACTGGGCTGCTTCCAGAAAGCAGCTGGGATTGTCTGTTTCCCATCGCTGAGCACAGAGCGCCTAACCCAGGGCAAGCACAGAGAGGATGCTCTGTAAATATTTGCTGGATGAATTCGCTGTCTTCTGTTCTACTCTCTGTCATCTCCTGCCTCACACATAATTCCAACAGGAAGGCTCTTCAAGTGAGAATGCCTTCACTCAAAAGAAAAATAAAATGCCCCAAATTTAAATTTTATGAAAACACGAAGACTTCGTTTTACAAACATATAAATTATTTTATTTACAAAGCCATGTTACAAAAAAAAAAAAAAAAACAAAAAAAAAAAAAAAAAATACAATCGCTCACTGGAGAATATTTCCAGGCCTGGTGTTGAACCATGGCAGTATCAATAGATACATGTTTGTTCTTTCCTTTTAAAACTGTAAGCCATAGAATTTACTATTTACACCTACTTTAGACATTAATTCTGCTTACAATATCACAGGCATGGAATGAATTCTATCTGATAGTGCTAATACATAAAGGTGCGGGACAAAGAAGGAAAATACTTAGTGTTACAAAATATGGATCGTAGAAAGGAAACCCACTCCACAAGTGTGGCGTTTGTTCAGGATGATTGGACATGCTTTCTTCAAAATTCTTCTGGAAAAGGTTCTAAAATCGGTAGTAGGAAAGGACAAATGAGCAGGTGCAAATTCTTGTCTGTGCAACAACAGTTATTTAATATACCCCATGACTGATCAGCTACGTAAAACCCACAGAGTTTTGTTAAAGTGCCATGGGCCGACAGCATAACAAAATAGAAGGTAAATAGAAAATTTCTCTTTTTCCTTTTTTAAAACAGGAGTTCACTGAGAATCAGCAATAATAGAATATGCTGTATAAACTATTCTCTACAAAGGTTGATCAGCGTTATTTACAATTGGTACATTGATACAAAAGAAGGCATACAAGTTATCCAAGTCGCTTTTTTTTTTTTTTTTTTTTTTTTATGGCTGACAGGTCTATGCATTGCGTTATGCTTAACAACCAGAGCTTTCGAGCCTCTATGGCTGGCGACAAGTCAGGAGATCTTCAGGCAAACAGGGGTGTGTGCAGTCAAGGGGCCGGGAGAGAAGACTGAGTGGGTGTGCAGAACAGAAGGACCCAAAGGATATCACCCTAATAATGCTTCATAGGCTGCTCCAGTTTAACTCCATGAAAACAAACCCAAAGAGAACCTTTTATTTGCATTCCATTTTTCAAGCTGCAAGTTTCTAACACATCATTGTAAAGTAAACCTGTAGTTGATCATGAAGGAAGAAATGCCGTGGGTTTCCCTTTTTTGCTCAGTTTTCCAGAAATATCCTCACCTTGGTCACAGCCAGTCTTTCAACAAAGTAAGCAGCATTCGATGGGGAGCCTCTTTATTCCAGCTTCCAATTCCAGGTGGAGAGAGCCACAGTGTTTAAGCTGAACGGCTCCTTTAGTCTCTGTCGAGACATTATTTCTCAGGAGCAGCCACTGAATCTCCCAACCTTTGTTTTCCCTCCTCGAATACAAGAGTTTATAAATCAGAGGGTTATTTTGTTGTTGAGATTTTGTTTTGTTTTGTGTTTACTCCCGTGAGTTTTACAACTCAAAATAAATTATAAAAAACAACAGACTTCTGAAACCGAACAAGACAAAAATTGTGCAAAAATAACAAAGATATGTACATACTTTTCAGTCTGAAGAAATGTACAATTAAAAACATAATTCAAAGAACATTTTAAAAATATAAACATTGCTTAAACTTTCCTAAGTTTCATATTGTTTCTGAAACTATTCTGGTCAGTTAGCTCTGTAATATAGTAAAACATAAATTATTACAAAATTAACACTATAAAAATTTACTTTAAGAATATCTTCTAAGCTTTTTTCCAAAGAGTCTAACCTTGTTTATAATTTCTTAAACATTTATAAGTCTTAAAATCTGCCTTAACCTTTTTTTTAAAAAAGAAAAAGTAACAATCGTCCCTTCAATTTGCAGTCTCTTTTTCCCAAGATGTAAATAAACCAGCATATAAGTGCACTTTTAACACTGTAGAAATAAAAATGAAATCATCTGAACTAATGTTCTGATACTAATATCAACTCCTGATTTTTAAAAAAATCTTCATTTTATACTAAAAAATTTAGTAATCCTATAAGAAACACTGTCAGTGCAATTCCATTGATGCAAATCACTCCATTTGCCTCCCGTCTTTGCAGATTCCAGTCGTAAGGTGAAACTTAACAGTAGTCTGATCTTTGGGTTGGGGGACGGGAAAGAAAAGGAAACTGTCAGGGTGGGGACGAGGGTTGTGCCCACCTGCAAAACTAGCATTCATTTCTGATTTAAGGATAAAGCAAAACCTCCTAGTAGCTCTGCTCTATCCCATATGCAAAGTTACACGATTACTAGCACAGAACACCTATTTTATATTGTTAATTTCTTTCCTGATTAGGACTCCCTATTAGAGCTTATGGTGTTGCTGTTTTCTTTCAAAACTCCAGTGTGAATATTTCTGTAGCTGCTGGGCTCCAATGGCTCTGTTCCAGCTCTTCCAAATGGCTCTTCGTCACTAAGCAGTGGCTCGTCCTTCCCATTCCTTCTTGGGCATGGCTGTCTCTGAGTGGGGGCATTTGGTAACGTAGCACATGCTGGTCAATGGCTGTGCTGATCCCACTGGGTGTCTGTGGCCCAGGGCACGGGGGTGGGTGGGAAACGCTAGTATTTATTCTCGCAAGGGGTTTGACACATAACCCTCCAGGGAAGCTTTCCCTAGAGGACCCTTCCTAGCCCCAGAGGGCGCCTTGAGAACCTGCAGCAGCTGTGTGTGATCACCGTGCCTCCTCAGGGAGTGGCTTTCTGAGTTCTCGTGGCTTTTTTCCTGGGATTTCTCCCTTTCTGGCTCACCCGACTTTGGGCAAGTGCCTGGAAGGGATTCTGTAGATTCCCAACAAGCTCAGACCACCACAGTCACTGGGTTCCCACCATCTTTTGAGGGATTGATTGTCCCCTACCTCCCAGCTCTGCTTCCTGCCACCCTCCCATACCCAGTCCAGCCCCTGTCCCTGACCTGGTGTCTCCTTTCTGAGCTGCACAGCTGGGCAGTGGATGTGGGTAAGCTGCATCGTTAAATGGAGCTGTTCTCAATTTTGCCCCTAGCATTAGGATCCGGCCATGTCGAGTTGTAGAAACCTGATGAGGGCACCCGCTCCCTCCCACCCTCTGTCTCTCTGCTCTCAGCTTCTCCCCAGCAAAATTACCTCCCCCTGCACAAAGTCCAGAGGGGAGCCTGTAAGAGCCAGCTATTTCTGAGGGCCAGTGGGGACCCAGTGAGTGGCAGGTGGAGGGGTGGGAGGGATCAGGTGGAGAGGACAAGGAAGGAAAAGGGCTCTGGGTGTGCTAAAGTTCAAGAGCTTCAGATGGTGCCAACCCAGAACTGATGTTCTGCCATGTCTGCTCTCATGGCTGGAGCAAGATGATGGTGCAGTAGCAGCATCAGGAGCTAGGGGAGTGCCCCAAATTTGGAAGAATGTATAAATGTGGCAAATGAAAGGAAAGACAAGAGAAACAAAACACTGGTGTTGTTTTCTGTAAATCTCAAATTCACGTTCTTTTGCCTTTTTCTTCAAAACTAAAAACTGGTCAATTAAAAAAAAGAAAAAAGAAGAAGAAGAAGAAAGGCCAGAGCCACAGGCAGGGCAGAAGAAATAGACTCTCCCCCATGGCCCACTCCCCTCCCTGGGCCTGGGATCAGGTGGCCTGGAATTGGTTTGGAAGTGGCTTCATAGTCTTGTTATGGAAGAGTCCTTATCCTGCCCATTCTGTTTGTGTTCTTCTAGGAAAGAAAAGAAAAACTTGTTTCAAAACCGTATATTTGAGATTATCCACAAGAGTTCAAGGACAGAGCCCCAGTTTTCTCATCTCCAGTAGAAAGGATAATATCCCACCTCCTGGACACGGTAAAGGGCAGCTGTAACAGCAAATGACGTGATGGATGAAAGGACTCAACATATGTAAAGTAGTCACAAAGACCCTCGCTGTAGAGGAAAACACAGTGACAAGTGCCGGGGACATTTATGGGATTCCTCTTCAGAAGAGGTGATCAAATAATTGATGTCTTCATTTTTTCAATGTATTAGTCCACCTTTTCCTACATAACCTGTAGACGACCTAGTGAATTATCTAAGGAAGAAGAATAGTGTTGGGTTAAACATAGAGGCTCTGGAGTTGGAGATTTTGGGTTCAAGTTACTTAGCTTCTTAGTGCAGCCATCTTCATCTACGCCATGAGTATAATCATCTTGTTTCTCACAGGGTTGTTAAAAGATTTAAAGGTGTAACGTATGTCAAGGGCATAGTCACTGTGCTATGACAGAGAAAGGGCTCAACAAGTGATAGCTATTGTGATTATTTTTAAGGCTGATTGCCGGCATTTTGGGTTCCCAGCAGGTGTATCTGGAGTTATGGGCACATGCACACCATGCTCGGTAAGGATGAAAGTGTAGTCTCCAGGTACACTCAGCAACCTCTGCAAGAGACCCCATAACCAGAGGCCGACTGCCTGGGCATACATGTGCCTCCCTCACCACGCAGCACAGGCGATGGCTGCAGGTGCACTGGCAAAAAAAAGGGCGATAGTGTCTCAAAATGGGGAGAAGACCCTTCTTGACCTGGGGGTACAAAAACTGTTTCCCCATAATCTTCATCCAAACTCTACCCAAGATTTGTGGGAAGACTCCAAAGAGCAAAACGCAAACACATCATTACTTGGTGTCTGCAAAACATGTGGCACACTAAGACAACACAACACAGGTATGTATTAATATACACATACATATATTTTCCAAACATACATAACAGGCACAACCTCATCCTCTGACTGTCCCTGGTCACCCCCAGACACACACACATGCATTCTATTGAGAAAATCATTTGTCACTGGGTGTACACATTGACTGCTCTCATATCTCAAGTTTATCAAACTGCTAAGTCTGTTTTGAATATTCCCAACATGAAACTACAGCCGGAGTGGCGGCTACCGCTCACCGGAGGCTTTTGAGAAAGCAGTGATTGACATATGCCAAGGGCTTTTCATCAACATCATCCTACTGCATTTTCACAATAGCCTTAGGAGGTAGGCAGCAATGTTGCCATTTAACAGATGAAAAAAATGAGACTCAGAGAAGAAATCTGCCTAAGATCATACAGCTGGTAATAATAATAGCTAACACTTGCACGTTTGCTATGTGCCAGGCATTTTCTAGTGGCTTTAAGTGAATAAACTAGTCCTTACAAAAGCCGTATGAGGTAGGGGCAGTCATGATCCCCACTTTATAGAGGGAGGAAATGGAAGCACAGAGAAATGAAGTCACTTGCCCAAGGGCACACAGCTAGTAACTAGAGGCCGAGGTTTGGAAGCCAGGTAGGCATGCTCTTCACTGGAGATGAGAGCCGACCCAGGGTCTGATCCCAAGGCCCACACTCCTTCCACCCTGCCGATGAGCTCATGTGTTTTTGTCCCCCAGTAACTTACCTGTCGGCTGTGTCCTGGGCTGGATATGCTTGAAGGACTGGATTGTGACAAAGCTAGGCTGCTATTTTTCCCAACCTGAAAGACACCAGTGAAGCCCCACTAAGACACACGAGCCGGCCTGGGAAAGGCCCACCTACGCCACAGGTTGCCAGGGAAGAAGAGGGGCAGCACAGCAATGCCTCATTCCCACACGTTGATTCGGAACTGGTGTTTCCACCATAAATGGCACAGAAAATGGGACTGTTTCGGAGGGTACCTCAGCGATGCCCCTCTCCTTCCCAGAGGAACAGTGGAATCGGGGGGAGCTCTTGACTCTGCTCCCTGGGTGGACGGACTGCATGTTTCAGGGATGAGGATGAAGGCATCTGGTTAGAATCCGGGCCCTTCTTGGGAGCACATCACTTAGCAGAGGCCTAGCTTTTCCACCTCTGACCCTCGGTCTCAGACCCATCTTGTTTCTAGCCCCGACTCCCTTAGATCAGCTGCAGATAGAACGCCTGGGTCTTCTTCTGGGTCAGTTTTCCTGGCCAGGAGACATAGGGTGCTGTTTGATGGTGCTCCTAGTGGAGGGGAGGGCCTGAGCTGGGGCATGTGGGTGTGGCTGCTACGCTCTTCCCCTTCCTGTGTGACCATGTGGTGGCTGGGTCCCCGGGGGAGCCGATTCCAGGTACTAACCCTATGTCCCTGTCTTGTTTACAAAGGCAGCTCTGGCCTTTGCCCTATAAACAGCTCCTCTTCTGCATGAACTGGCCTTTGCGTACAGACATTGCCTTACATTCAGTCTTGCTTTCTATTTCTGTGGCAACTTCTGGCCTTGCACCTATCAGGTACAATTAAATAGATCCCAAAGTTGTCCCCAAGGCACAGGTTTATCTTGGATTTCTCAAGCTCATGCTTTGCCTCTCCCAAACCCACGGGCCTTTGCCTTTCCCCAACACTTGGACATCACTGGTGGTGGCTCTGGACAGAGCCTTTTCTTTTCTTTTTTTTTTTTTTTTGAGACAGAGTCTCACTCTGTTGCCCAGGCTAGAGTGCCGTGGCGTCAGCCTAGCTCACAGCAACCTCAAACTCCTGGGCTCAAGCGATCCTTCTGCCTCAGCCTCCCGAGTACCTGGGACTATAGGCATGCACCACCATGCCTGGCTAATTTTTTCTATATATTTTTAGTTGTCTGATTAATTTCTTTCTATTTTTAGTAGAGACGGGGTCTCGCTCTTGCTCAGGCTGGTCTCGAACTCCTGAGCTCAAACAATCCGCCCGCCTTGGCCTCCCAGAGAGCTAGGATTACAGGCATGAGCCACCGTGCCCGGCCCAGAGCCTTTTCTTAATGGCTTGATGACAAGCACCGAGGTATCCCTTGCATTAGAGAACCGATGCTGACCGGACCTGAGGCAGCCATTAAATGCACCAGGTTATTTGATTCCCCTTCTTCCTGAGCACTTGTCTGCTCTTTCCACTGCCGGTTACCCAGCACTTCGTGTCGTCCTGCAGACCAAAGGATCAACACAGCGACACTGACTCAGCACAGAGGCACTCCATTCACAGCATGGAGCCCGGACTCCAGTCAAAATGCCTGAGTGTAAATTCCAGCCCTGCTATTTACTTGCTGTGTAGTTATTAATATTTACTTTGGGTACCTTGTTTAACCTTCCTACGCCTTGGTTTACTCCTCTGTAGAATGGGAGTAATAGCAGCTAACTGTAAAATGAACGCTTGGAACAGAGCCTATCACGTAAGTGTTAGCTGCTGGGACTTTACCTAAAATGAGGACGATGCCATGTAGCCTTGCTGCCCAAGGTGTGGCCTGCAAACCAGTGCCGCGGCATCGCCTGGGAGGCTGCTAGAAACGCAGACTCCTGGTCCCACCCAGGCCTGCTGACTCAGAACCTGCATTTTCACAGGACACCCAGGTGATGCGTGTGCATATTCAAGGTTGAGATGCCCTTGCTCTGCCCTCCACTCTGAGACCTGGAGGTGGCACTGACCAGCAGTTTCGTCTCCAGGTAGAGCCCTCGGGCGCTGGCCCCCCGCCCCCATGCCCCTGGAAGTGGGGAGCCAGATGGTGCCCCAGGCTCTAGCCAGAGGACCTGCGTCTTCCCCTCCTCTCACCTTGGCCGCGGGTTGCAGCTTGTCTGGCCCTTGGGTTCCAAACTTGCTGTTTCTCATGTGTGTACTTGTGATTTGTGAATCCCCCTCAGGATGTGCTCTTCGTGAGGTTATAACAAGTCTCATAAACGGTGACACAAAACATTAAAACATCTTTTTAACAACTGCCTCCCATCTCTCCAAAGTCCTCCTCCCTAGATACGGCTGGGCTTGGGGTTTGGCCCCCTTAATGCTGCGGCTGCCACTGCAGTCTCTGCACACGCTGCCCCCACAGGTGCAGGCTGCCGGGCAGGCCAGTGCCCCGCACTGCACTCGGCCGGGCCCCTCCCCGCTTCTGCGCCCTGTCTGCGTCCAAGCGGCCCCAGAGTCAGGGGCGGGGGTGGCAGTGGGCTCTCCTAAGTAGCTCCCACAGCCTGAGGAGGAAGACTAGACTCGGGGATGAGAGCAGGGCTAGAGGGAAGGAAACATGTATTCTTCTCAGATTGCACTACGTTTTCTCAGCTTCCCACGACACACCCTCCTATTTGCACAATGGCACTGAACACTTCTTTGCCAGTTGGTGGGAGGTGCACCTTTAGGAAGGAAGGAGTTATGTTAGGAGGAGGTGGGGGCTGAGGCAGCCTGGTAAAGTGAGAGGGACAGTCACCTGGGAGCCAGGACACACAGGCCACCACTACCCAGGTGGGACCCTGGGTCATCATTTAACCTGCCTGGGCCTCAGCCTCCTCCTAAGGGGATTCCCAGAGATCAGATCAAACTTCTCAGCAACAGAGCTTTTTAATGACATTGTCCTCAGATCCTCAAAATATAAGACAGACATGGAGTGGGGAACTCAGAATCTCTCTGTACCTCAGTTTACTCATCGGTAAAGTGGTGGTAACAATTGTTCCAACTACACTGGGGTGTTGTGAGGACGCAATGAGGTAATACTTGTAAAGTGCTTAGAACAGTGCCCAGCACAAAGTGAGAGTTGTAGCAATTATTTGTTAAATAAACTGCTCTCAAAGCAGAGGGTGAAAATTGCCTTTGGGCAAGGCGAGGAAAGGAGTCCCGCTTGTGTCACCTGTCTGAGCCACCTGGCTAAGCAGGGGCGCTGCCCAGCTCCCCCTGCCCCCCAGAGCTGGTGAAGGCAGTGCCAGGAGGTCCCTTACCTGCCGAGAGGAGGTGCTGTTAACGGGCTCGGGCACCGGTGCAAGAAGGCCGGGCGGGTTCTTTTTGTGAACGCTATTCATACCAGGCATTTTAGTGATTTTACAGGCTTTGCTACTAGAACTCGAGTTCTTACGCTTTTTTCCTTCTGATTTGTCAAAAGAGAGGGGCAGAGAAGACACGACATTGTGTGAGGCCAGAGAGAGGTCCCCTGCGTGGAGCGCAAGGGAGGGCACAGAGAGGGCACAGGAGTCACTGCTGCCTCCCACCGCGCCCACCTGTCTCGCTATGTCCGCGGGGCTGCCGGGCAGCGAGGTCCGTCCTGAGGGCTCCAGTTTGGCACTGAGTGGGCTCAGCCCGTTGTTTGAGTTGTGCACGGACATACTGTTATAGGGAAGGGCCGCCTGATAGGAGTTCAAAGCAGAACTGGCGTTCAAAACACAGTTCTTTTTGTGGGGCCCTGACAATGGAGACGAGAGGGGTGTCTGCAAGGACAAGGAGGAAGAGGAGGAGGAGGAAGTCGAGGACTGCGGCTTCCTCTTTTTGTTACTTGGAGACTCGTCGCTACGGGCAGACAGGTCTTTGACTTTTGAGGATTTGCTGGTTTTGGTTTTGGATGGCTTGTGGGATGGGGAAGGGATGACGGCTGGTATCGGGGACACGGCGGATGGGGCCTTGAAGGTTGAGTCCATGATGCTGAGGGTTGCGGCCACATGAGGGAAAGCTGTGGTGTGGGGCATGAGGGCGCTCGGGTCCGGCGATGCCACAAAAGCTGTGTTTGAGAGCATGGCTGATGTCATTATGTAAGAAGAGGTGAGTCTCGAGCTGATGGGAGCTGAAGGAAGATACACAGCACTGGGGTTGCTGAAAGGCTGCAAAACGGATGCTGGAACAGGGGTGGTGATGTGGGCTGCTGGCGAGGGCAGGGGGCTATCTGCCGCAGGAGGGATCTTCCTAAACATGAGAGAAGAGTGAAAGAGAAACAGTGAGACGTCGGGTCGGCATTGCTCGGGAGGCTCGATGAAGTTTGAGCATCAGGGCTACAGAGCACACCCTGGCGGAACCAGACTATGGAGCATGAAGCCTTGAAGGATGGTGAGATCTGAAGAATGGCCCTTGCTCATGGTGCCCCCATTGCAACAGCCAGCGCCTAAATGGAATCACTCCCAGGTCCTCAGATGCTTTCTCCATGCTTGGCTACTGGACAATGGCTGATTTTGGTTCATGAGTAAAAGGCAAATGTTATTTATAATATAACTTTTCCCAGCAGTATTCTCCCCTCTCAATTTCTCTCTCTCTCTTTCTTTTTTTGGCAGCAATGACGGTGGTTTTTAATGAGAAGTGGTCATCTCACATGTAGGTCCTGGTTTGAAGTAAGAAATGTGAGGACAGGGCTTTGCTACCTGGGCATAGGGGCTGGAGTGTCCCCCTCTACCCACTGCAGCCTCTGTCCACAGACCTCAGGGTGTCCCAGCGCCTGTCTGTCCCCTGCGTCCCCACCCTGCTCTGGGCTGGAGGCAGTCTGCATCCTCCTGCATTTGCCGTCTGCAGCTTCTGGCGTACTCTGCAGAGAGCCCCACTCCCTGTCTGCTTGTAGCTGCTGGGTCCTGGCAGCCCAGCCGCGGAGGGGCAGGGGCTCAGGACATGGAGACGATGTCATTTGCCTATACCTACAACTGGCTGTTTTTTTTCCTATTCACCCCACCCTAACTCAGCTCTCGCTCAGAGGAGCTATATGGGAGCGTGGCTGCCCTTCAGCAGGTCTTCCTATCCCTGTGTTTGGAAAAGGTGAGAGTGGGGGTCTCTCATGTGTCCAGAGAAGGGGACCAGGAATTTCTAGTTTGTTCTGAAGATAAATGCAGGATATGCGCAAGAGGGGAACATACGGATGGGAGAGGGGAAACCCACTGTTTTCTTCTTTGGTCTTCTTGGAGCTTGGGGGGCGCCTCAGAGTGAACTCCCCGGAGCCAAGGCCAGCACCAGGCAGCGGGTCACCTCTGGAGCCTCCCTGCAAGCTCAGTCTTTTGACTTGTGCTGGAAATGGCTCCCATGTCCAGTCTATGGCCTGGGTCAACGCTGCTGCTACTCTGGGGATCGGAAGAAGGCACAGTGGCTGTGGGGTCACTGTTCCTGATTTTGCAGGACAGGATGCTGACCTCAGGAGCCGAGTGGATGATTTCAAGCTGGTTCTTTTCTATTTCTCACTGTCCCCCCACGGACCCCCCACTTCCCGAGGAAATTATTTTCAGTGTAGCTGGGGCTCACCAGCAATTAGGAACTAGCTTTTCTTCTCTGAAAGCTGCACACAAGGCCTGTGCCCCAGCAGGCCTCATGGAGTCCCTCCTCTCCTTTGGAGGCCACCTTCCCGGCTGTAGTGTCAGGACCAGGTGCCAGGGAACTCTACAAAGAGGCCCCGCTGAGAAGCAAACGCCTCTCCTAGCCTTCCTCTCCCTGAAGATTCTGTTTTTTTGGCCTGCACTTTGGTGGAGCCTGTGGCTTCCATCTTTAGGGTGGAATCCAGAGGAATCCTTGAAGATAGAAGCACAGTGTCCTTGAAAATGTCAGACCGAGGAGATCAAATATAAGAGAAAAATGTTGCCGAACCCACAGCGGCCATGACGGCGTTTGTGAATTTACTTTCTCTCAAGCCTGAAGAAGGTCAAAGATCCTGTCAGCACTAAACAAGCTGCTCCATAAATACTTGTTGCAATGAATGAATGAGTGAATGAACGGATGGATGGATGGGCAGGTGGATGGGCGAGCAGGTGAATCTCAGCAGCAACACAACCGTACTGTCAGGGACTATGCATGCTGGGCAAGGACTTCCAGGGCACCAGACTGGAGAGGTCTACACATCCTTAGAACTGTCTGGCACTGCACAACCCCTTCCTGACGGGGCTAGGGAACATTTCTCAGCATGTGAGGCGTCAGCAAACTTTCTTGCTGCCTTTGTTGCCTTGCTGTGGTACTACAGGCATCCCACTCAATCTTTCCTTGACTCAAGTCTCCTTACCAGCTGACGTGTGGATGGAAATACATGAGGGCAGAGGTTTGGCAGTTACTTGTAATACAAAGTTATTTACAAATACCAGATGGCTCATTTAGAGAGGATCCTGATCCATGACTTTGAATGGGATCCACTTTTAATGTCCCAATTTATAACTTTCCCATTAAATAGTATAAATTCATGCTTCAGCTTGTGCTGACCAGCAGAGTTGAAGTCCTAAATCTTACCTGCCATTGGCATACTTTCTGTCCCTATCCTTCCTCTCCCCACTGATCCTGAGTGCACGGTGGGGGCAGCGGGAGGGGAGCGGGGCAGGAGAGAGGCAGGGCAAGGAGCACATGGCAGCTCACTGTCGCGGGGAGCCCCTCCCCCCAGGCCGAATGTGTTTTTCTAGGTGCTGAATGACGGTGGATTTCAGCTTCGCTGGGCTGTGCCCAGGCTTAAGCTTTGAACACTGGCCTAGGGAAGTCCCATACACAAGCCCATAGATGCGAATAAATTACTGACAGTGCCCATCCTCCCCTGCCAGGTGGCATGGAGGACCAGATGCTGACCTGGCTGAAAGAGAATACTGTGTTGGCGTCTCCTGATGCAGAGTTAAATGCTTGTTAAAGAAAAAAGAGTCTTGGCCGTTCCTTTTCTTCCTAATGTCTTCCACGCCCCCATCGGCTGCCATCCCTCCAGGTTCGGGCCCGTCGGGGCCTGGGGTTTGGGCAGCGAGGTTGAGAGGGCAGCGGGGTGCTACGCTCTCCAGAGTTGACACCCAGGCAGCCCCAATGTTGCTCAGTGACAGCAGATTGGTTAGGCAAGTCCTGAACAGGGGGGAGGGACCTGATGCCCTGTGGCTCGGGCTTCTGTGCCTGAGGAGGAAAGGAACATGGAGCTTGAGCGGACAGGACACCAGGGAGTGCAATACAGATCAACACATTCCTTCCGCGTGTCCGGGATTTACACTTCCACACAACAGGAGAGCAAAGGGCTGCGAGAATCGCCAGGGCTGGCTGCCATCTTGGGGAACAAGCGCAGAAGGATCAATCACCAAATAACAGATCACGGTAACCCCACATGCAGCGCCAACCTGTTGCTGTTTGGAGTGGGCACAAGCAGATACCAAGGGTGCCCTTTAGACACACCGGGCAGTCGCTCGAATAGGAAGAAATGATAAGCTTCTCTTGTGGCCCTTTCCTACCTTATACTAAATGTCGACATTTAGTCCTAAGTCTACCCTGAGAGCTCAACGCAGACACAAATGGAGCTGACTTCTAGAAGCTCAGGTCTGGAAGCTCTTTGGGCTTTTAGAAAAGGGGCTGAGGTGTCATAGCTGTCTGGGAGAGGGGCAAGTTTTGAATTCTGTTCCCCTCCCACTTCTTAGGAATGCCTTCTTTGCCTCTCCTGGGCCTCCGTGGGCAGAGTGGGGGTCTCAGCTGTTGGCCATCCTGGGCTCTCTGGGCCCAGGCTTACATGATCCATGACGGGAATGGACTATGATATCTGGAGAGCTCACCTGTGTAGGAGTAGGGACGGGTATACCCCGTGGGCTGGCCTTACATTATCAAGTGGCCAGCGTGGTAGTGCCTTGTGTGCTGTGGTTTGGGAGAGTCTAGGCCTGCCATGCCTTCCTGATAGCATTCTACCAAATCAAGGCCTCTTCCCTTTTTATGAATCCCCAATGATATGTAAATACATTGGGAAGTGTTGGAGAATAAAGGGACCTGAGAGAAATGGAACATAAGTTGAGTCTAGGGGAGAAAGAAGTACAAGTAAAGGTGAGGAGAGCGTCCTAGGGAGATGGGAAGGGCCAAAGACAAACTTAACCAACTTCACAGCATTGCTCAGGATCTGCCCTGTTGGCAACTGTTCACATGTTTTCACAGGACAGCAAACAACTAGAAATTGGTCCATAACCATTATGAAATCTTTAGTACTGATATTGTAGCATTAACATTGCAAGCAGAAGTACATTCTTAATATCCTTAGATGCTCTTAGTAGTAATAATAAAAAAGGCCCTTTAACACTGCTAAATAAACAAGATCTCATCCAATATCCTTTTCATTTAGTTTAGAATATAACCAACACAGAAATGATCTCCAAAGCAAAGCATACAACACATCATATGTGTTTCTAAAAAACTTTGGGCAAACCATTAAGACCTGACATTTAAGAATTAACCAAGAATCCCGATTTCAGAATCATTTTGTTCTGTGAAAAGCCAACCACTGACATTTACTTGGAAAGTTAGGGCTCAGATCATTGTGGGGCAGCTCAAATCTTATACCGCACAAAAACTGCTCACTTACTTCCACATCTGTGAATTCAAGTGTTTTTCTACCATGGAGTTTAGCGCGAATCGAAAACGATCCCATCTTCTATCAAACACATAGTACCCGCGTCCCATGAGGCGACTGCCGAATGAGCAAAACTGTGAGGAAAAAAAATTTTAATTTTGATTACAGGTTAATAAGCTAATATAAACTATACAGAGAAAAATAACATTTGCATAAAAACACACAGGGGCACCATTTTACTCGAAATAAAGAAGCAAATAGTACTGAAGCCAAAAATATTTCTGTGGTGCCATAGTTTGAGCTCTAGATTTTCTGCATAACCTCACATTATAACTCAACCACAGCTACATTCAATTTTCTGTGGCGCTGAGGGGGCCATATTCTCCACTCCAGGGACTGAGCCAGTATTTTAGGTTAAGAAACAAACAGCACAACCGCCGGCAGCCGGGGCGATTTCTCAGCACCATCTGTTCATCACATCGTCCATCTTCTCAAGGAACCCAGTGGCTCCCTGCTTCTCATCGCAGTAATGGAAACTGCTTGTTCTGGCGTCCCGGGTCACGCCTTTCCTGTCCGATGTCAATAGAGCCTCTTTGCTTCCAGCCAGGCTAAAAGCCTTCCTTTCCCGGTCCCGAACTCATCTCTGTCTCCCCCCAGCTCCTGCAGGCTGTCAAGCTTCCGTGCATGCTGTTCCCGCTGCCTGCTGTCTCCATCCCTCTTCTCTTTGTCAATTCAAATCCTTCTCTCTCTTGGTGCCCTAATCAAGATGCTGATTTGCAGTGGCCCTCTTCTGATTAACCTTCCCACTGTGAACTCCCCCGGCACACCTATTGCATACTTTATTACATTTCGCCTTGGACTCACTGCATGACTGTTGTGTGTTATATATATACATAATGCCTGTGTACCTGACTCAACTACCATTGTGTAGACAGGGCATCCCATTCTCTTCTTCTTCCTCCTTAGTATGAGGATAGTAGGGATCTGGGCTAGTGAATGGATTGGGGAGACAAGGTCCCATAAAATGCTTGAAACACACCATCATGTTTAAAATATGTGGCTGAGCTGGGCGAGGTGGCTCATGCCTGTAATCCCAGCACTTTGGGAGGCTGAGGTGGTAGATCACTTGTGACCAGGAATTTGAGACTAGCCTGAGCAGCATAGCAAGACCCTGTGTCTACAAAAATAAAAAAATTAGCCAGGCGATCACTTGAGCCCAGGAGTTTGAGGTTTGCAGTGAGCTATGATGATGCTTCTGCACTCTAGCCTGGGCAACAGAGCGAGATCCTGTCTAAAAAAAAATTTATATATATATATATGTGTGTATATATATAAATGTAATACATGGCTGAAATATGGGCATTCAGATGTTCAATAAACACCATTTGATTATGATGTTAGGACAACCGGAAAGCCAGGAGACAGAAATGCAGGCGGCCTCTGACAAGGTGACATTTGGCTGGTCTAGAGCTCAGGCAAGTCTGCAAATGACTCTATAACTCAAAAGCAGCTTTTCCCCCTTCCTCCAGGCCTCCTAGCAGCTCCCTGGCCTCCATCCCAGACACAGGGTTGGATTGGCACTGATTCCACACACCCGTCCTGGAACCAGCCTTTGGAACAGTTCTCAGGAAGAAATGTAAGACCTTCCCTTTGTTCTGTTTCTGCTTGTGTTTGGGGGGTTTTGCACTAAAATCTTGCCAACCCACTAAATCTGGTAGTGCTGATGAAAACCACTTTTCTACACCTTCACATTAAGTGCTTACTGACCAAGCAAGAAAACACACAAAGGGAATTCTCCGACATGGAAGCTGGTCCCCAGCAGCATGTGGGAGCTGTTCCAGGCCTGGACATCACTTCTTCCTTCATCCCAATTGCTACAGACAGCACCGAGCAAGCATTCATTACCAAAAATGATTTGAGAGAAAGGTCAGCAAAGAAACAAATCCATGGCCTTTCCATTGAAATTGGCAAGCCACTGAGGGCACACAGATGCGCCATGTCCTGAGTTCAGCTAATCCTCTGTAGTCTGGCCGCTTGTCATTTGGACAAATGTCTTGATGTACTCCAGAGTCTGCCCTTCTGGTAAAGCCTCGTATCTTTCAGACTCGGGAGCTGGAGACACTGTTTTGTCTTTGCCCCCTATGTATTATCTAATTACCTATAGATGCAAGGCGAGGTGGCCCCGGGAAGCTCCTGTTCCCACCTGGCACATGACGTTCTCAGCAGAGCTGCAGATCCTCACTGCTGGTTGCTGTGGTCCTCTTGGTTGCCTACCGCCATCCACTCCCACATCTCCCTGTCTTTTCCTTGCTCACAGAATCACACTTTTTCCTCCTATCTGACATGCAACAGTAAACAGGGAAGGTGGGTCTCCTCCCAGAACCTGGTTTCGTCCTGTGTCTCTGCAATCCCTTCCTTCTCTGCCATCGATCAATCTAGGAGTGGGCACGTGACCCATCTCTGGTGGATATAGGGAGGAGTCCGCTGGGGTTTCACAGGAAGATTTACTTTCCTAATGTAAGACAGCACCTTGGAAGAAGACCACTTTTCGGTTTGTCCCTTTGCAACCTGTGTAGAAATGCCACAGGTGAGGATGTGAAATCGCAGCTGTGGCAAGACGTGTTGGAATCATGCAGGAAAGACGGATTGTCTCTCAGCTCCATGCATTGTGGAGAAGCTGAACAAGGCCTGGAAGCACCTACCTCTGAACTTCTTGCCTATGAGATGATTAAGTGACCTTAGTGTTTTTGCCATGTGAGTTGACTTTCCTACTCTTGGCAGTCAAAGGCATTTCTAATTATCCTTGACTATTTCTCCCATCCAAGTACTAACCAGTTCCGACCCTGCTTAGCTTCCGAGATCAAACGAGATCTGGTGCGTTCAGGGTGATATGGCCGTAGACATCCCTGACGATTTCTGTACTAGCCAACAGGCAAAGTCTCAGGCTGTTGTAACCATCATCCCCAGAAACAGGAAGTACATGTGGCCTTCATTCGTCACACAGACAGAAGGGAAGAGGGACTCGCTCTATCTTGATGTAGGACTGATTTTACTCACACAGTCCCTGAGATCTAGTGATAGTCAAAGCTGATCCTGGCAGAGCTCAGGCTGGCACCGGAGTAAACCACTGTGGGGTCCCATGTTCCAAGCTCCCTGCATTGGGCTCTGTGATGGTAGCACTAGCCATTCCCTTCTCAAGTGCTCACAAGGCAAACATAAACAAGCCTCTAGCGGATGCCTCCAATTTCCCACCTCAATTTCAATGACTGTCTCAAATGTTCAAGTGGACTCATTCAGGGAACTGGGAAGTGCGTGCCCTTTTTGTTAATCGGCATTCATGCCGACCTGAAATGCTTCCTCCTTCCCTCAACACACACACACACTCTCACTCAGTTCTGGTGCCACACAGCCACACTTACTAATGACAATAAAACTCAGAACCAACAGGGAGAACACCAGTGAGGGCCGGGCACCTGATACACTGCTACGACAGTCAGTCTCCAGAGCAGCCGAACCACGCTAACTCAGACATCATTCTAGATGGCCAAGGCCAGAAGGTCAGCTCCCAAGTACACTTATAGAAACACTGTTTCTCAAGCATTCTTGTTTCAAGGTGGACCACAAATACTCAGGGTTCTTATCAGCCAGCAGCCCTTTCCTTTCCTTCTGTGACATTAGAAGGTATTTCTAAGGCAATCATTCAACCTCGAGGTAAGCCTTTTCCCAAAACACTGTACTGATGGCCTTTCCTTAGGAATGTGTGCCTCTGGCATGATCACCTAAGTGCCTGCAAAGCACGGGGGAAACTGCGCGGAAGGGCTGGACGCTCACCGCAAGAGGTCTGGGGTGGTGCGTGGAGAACTGACAGTCTAGCTTCTCGGATTCGTCGGCTCCGTCCATCTCCCCTTCATCACTGGACAGTCGGCTGGCGAGGTCAACTCCAACGGGGGGGAGAGGGGGCTCTGGAGTGTAGCCGCTGTGATTTGAGGACGTGCTGCTGCTTATGCTGTTTGCAGATGACGGTCTACGAGCAAGAGGGGGCAACAAACAGAATAAACTTTTCTGAGGTAACAAGATCCACCCAGGTTAACGGTGCTCGGAAAACAGCCCAATTAGCCTTGCCAATATGTCAGGGAGGGCAGGTCGATGGCAATTGTGCACAAGGGAAAGAATTAAGGCTGAAAGGTTAGCAGGGACCAGCTCTCTGCAGTGACTGGGTCACGTTAGGTTCTGCCCTGCTGGCTGAGTCAGGCTGGTGACAGGAATGAGGGAAAAGCCCAACAGCGGCAGTGGAATGTCAAATACAGGAACGTGACAGAGAGTTAATTTAACCCAAAACTAATCTTCTGTGAATTCAGTTACAACGGTTTGCCCGTTTGCATGTAAGTCATTTGCACTTGCCATGAGGTGGCTTCGCTTTGAAAGCGGAACCTGATGGGAAGATCAACCAGGTAACAAGATCGGAGCAATCAGCCAAGTATCAGTAATGAAGGATCACAGTCCTCTGCACATGTTCTTCGCTACTAAACTACGACCTTAGGAAGTTGTTACCATACTGGCATGAAGGTTTTGTCCTGGCGAAAGGCCACTAGTTCCCTTAGCCATAGCCATACCTGTTTCTTTTTTCTTGTCTTTTCTTTTTTTTTAAGACACAGGGCTGGTCTTGCCTTGTTGCCCAGGCTGGAGTGCAGCAGCACGCCCACAGCTCACTGTGACCTTGAACCAGGAGGCTTGGGGATCCTCCCACCTCAGCCTCCTGAGTAGCTGGGATTACAGGCATGTACCAACACACCTGGCTAAATTTTTTTTTTTTTGGTTGAGATGGGATCTCGCTATGTTGCTCAGGCTGGTCTTGAACTCCTGGCCTCAAATGATCCTCCCACCTCGGCCTCCCAAAGTGCTAGGATTACAGGCATGAGCCACTGAACCCAGTCTGTGCTTGTTTCTTAATATTGGTCCATGCGTAGTTTAATTGTATCTTCTGAGATAACTGTTCAATTCAGTTTTGGCAAGCCACTTTACCCACTGCAGGGCATGGCTGGCTCATAGTAGGTTTGGAAGAGATATTTTTCTCAACAAAGGAATGAATGAATTCCATGTGTATATATGCAATAGATGTCATCTCAATTATGGCTAACCTTACAAAAAAGCAATGTCACAATAAGAGGTAACACTACATGCTCCCTGAGCAGTAAAATGCAATACAAAACAAGGCAAAAGCAAAAGCAAACACATCCACATTAGTAGAAGAGTCAGAAGAGGAATAGTTACAGTCAATTGTTACTAGTTTATACCATTTCTCTATTTTCATCAGGTGATCAAACAGGGAGAGGTAGCAAAGACAGGGAGAAAAAGAAGTTTTGGGAAATAAAAATCACGATAAAAAAAATAAATCATTTTGCTGCTTTCTGCTTTTTTTTTTTTTTTTTTGAGACAGAGTCTGGCTCTGTTGCCCTGGCTAGAGTGCCATGACGTCAGCCTAGCTCACAGCAACCTCAAACTCCTGGGCTCAAGCGATCCTCCTGCCTCAGCCTCCCGAGCAGCTGGGACTACAGGCACGCGCCACCATGCCCAGCTAATTTTTTCTATATACATATTTTTAGTTGTCCAGATAATTTCTTTCTACTTTTTTAGTAGAGACGGGGTCTCGCTCTTGCTCAGGCTGGTCTGGAACTCCTGAACTCAAACGATCCACCCACCTCAGCCTCCCAGAATGCTAGGATTAAAGGCGTGAGCCACCGCGCCCAGCCTTGGCTTTCTGCTTTGAGAGCTGCCCCTTCAGGTCTCAGGAAGCAGCACCGATGATTTGTTACCCTTCTCTCTCATTTTCACCCTGGATTCTTTGTTGCTTTAAAATCTTTTCAGTTCTCAACGACCTGAATTCATACCAGATTCCAAAAGCAGTCACTTAAAAATAAAACCATGAAGGTGGAAACAACTCAAATGTCCATCAACAGAGGAAGGGATAAACAAAATGTGGTATACTCATACAATGGGGTATTATTCGAGCCTTAACAAGGAATGAAATTCAGATACATGCTACAACATGGGTGACCCTTGAAGGCATCATGCTACATGAAATAAGCTGGGCAAAAAGGATGAATATTGGATGATTCTACTTATATGAGGTCCCTGCACAGAAATTACAACAGTGGTTATCAGGAGCAGGAGAGAGAGAGGGATGGGGAGTTCGTGTTTGCTGGGGACAGTTTCAATTGGAGATGATGGAAGAGTTCAGGAGACGACGGATGGTGGTGATGGCTGCACAACATTGTGAATGCATTTAATGTCATGAAACTGTACACTTAAAAATGGTTAAAATAGTAAATTTTATGTTACATATATTATATAACAAAAACAAAACAAAACAAAGTATGGGCATAGGTGATTTTTCAGTATCATTACAAGAATTCTGTTAGGATGACAATTTATTAATAACTCTCTTTCTTATACGTATAAAAACAAAGATGCCATTGATTCTGTGTTAAAAATCTATAGTCCAAAGAACACATATCCCCAGGCATTCTTCAATACCAGCTCTTCAATAGCAGGAAGGGGCAGCAACACCAATGTCTGCTAAGAGGTGCACATTCACATAATAAAACCATTTAGGTGATGCTGAAACACACACAGGAGAAAACAGTACCCATAGTCCTGCTGCCCAAGATCAACTGCTGTGAGCATTTTGATTTACATCCTTCCAGACTTCTTAACTGCGCATACACATGCATATGCATTTTTAAGCAAGAACTGGATCACACTGTACATGCTATTTTGAGACATGCTTTTTAAAAAAGCTGGTGATGTTTTAGAAATCTTTCCATGTATAGAACTATATCATCATTTTTAATATTCCCCAGTAATCCATAATATGGATATATCATATTTTACTTAACTAATCTTCTACTAATGAACATTTGTTTCCAAACTTTCAAATAGGCTCTATTTGAAGCTCTCTCCATCATAATGGGACCTCTCTCTCCTGTGGGAGATAAAAGAGAGCTGGATTTTGTTAAGTGTGAAAATAGTATCATGGCTATACAGGAAATTATCTTTACTTTTTAAGATGCAATGGAAGTCTTTAGAGGGGAAATGCCATGGTATCTGCAATTTACTTCAAAATACATCATCAAAAACCATAGATGAAGCAAATGTAATCATAAAATATTAATACAACAACTGTTAAACTAGGTATACGGGTGTTTAATATACTATTCTCTCTACATGGGGAAAATTTCATAACAAAAGTAAAAAAAAAAGAAAAGACAGTTAGTAGTATAGGTATATGTAAGAAAGTTGCTAAAAAACTTCCTGGGTATTTTTTGGTTTTTTTATATTTTAATTTTTTCC